TTTTTTTTTTTTTTTTAGTGGACGTTGCTTGCATAGATTAGCAAGGAATATAATGGATTTGGAACCTTTTTACTTTTAGTATTATTGCATGGATTTTATCGTATAAGGACTATTTTTAATTTATTTATTTATGGAGAGTTTCTCTGTTTACGCCTCATAAACTACTGCCATCATAACACCCCTTAATATTGGATCCCCTTATTAACTTTTTACTATTAGAAAGTGAATGTTGAATTATGATTATTTTAAAAAACTTAAGTGCGATTTCTCTCTCGCGATAACACCTAATCCCAAAATCGCTGGCGTTGCTATTCAATTTCTCTGTCGTTTTTCCTTCTCGGCGACGGCAGAACATTGCGTGCCTCTAGTGATGTTGCGATTGGTGGACTGCCAAGATTACCCCACGGACGACTTCGCCATTTCAGGCGAGTTCTTGTGGGCTCTGGTCGTTGGCTTCCCAGATCTGCAGTAGCGTCGGCAGGGGTGTAGGTCAGTGGGTGGGGCGTGGCTCTAGTGGCTACGACGCCCTGCATCGAGGTGGTTGGAGTTGAGGGACCGAGTCGCTCTCACATCCTCGGTTCTCTGGTGCTAGGGACAGAGGGGGGTCCGGAGCTTCCGCGCTCGGCTAGTGGTGTTAGGCGAGTTCGGGCATCGCTGGTGGTGGGAGTCGGGTTGTGGTTCCTCCTGTTGGGGTTTGGTCGATTTTTGGTTTTGATTCGGAATTCGGGTTCCCATTCAGTTTCGGATTCGGGTTCTGTATAGGCGATGCTCGGCAGTTTCGGAAGCGGTCCCTCGGGCTTTGGATCTTTCTTGGAGTCGACTGTTTCTCTGCTGGTTCGGGTTGGTTGTTCTGTCGTGAAAGGACTCTCTTATTAGTTAGTTTTGTTTTATGTTTCTTTTGTTTTTGTTGGTCGTGTTTTGTATTTGGGTCGTTGACCTCTGTGAATCCGAGTGTGAGCTGGTATTATCCTATTGGGATCGTTTTAGTCTCCTATTTGGGAGTTTGTAATTTCTTAATTTTGTTGTTTTTGTGTTGTCGAGAGTTTGTTCTTCTAGAGTTGTTAGGTTTGGCTCTAGGCGATCTACGGATCTGTCACCCCAGTCTTTTTAGCCTTTGGTTGTACCTTTCAGCTTTTGATTGTTTTATCTTGGCACTTTGTGCAGTTTTTGTTAATATCTCTATTGTTCCGAGGAAAAAAAAAGATTAGACTTTTAGATTTTTCATTTTAAAGTTTTTATCACTTACAACAATGTACACGTTGGCCAATTATAGAATGTGGAATTCTGTTTATATAGGCAAATCATATTTTTTCTTTTTTGGTGGGAAATTTCTATTGTGGGGCTTGACTTTTTGTTATTGTATTACAATAAGACCTAGATTTTCAACTTTTTCATTTGAGGGTTTCAATTTTAAGTTATTCTCAATATAAGACCTACTTTTACATTCTACTTTTCAATTTAAGACTCCAAATCACTTTGTATTTTGATATATTTATGTAAACCACAACACTCTTTTTTTTAAAAAAAAAAAAAAAATGTGTTAAATAACTTAAATATGTTTAGTAAAAATTTTTTTAATAAGAAAATTAATTCATTTAAGTTAATTTATTTTGCATAATTGTAACCAATTTGGATTAATTTTCTTACGAAGTTAGTTTTACAATATATTTAATACTTTTATTATAGGCATTAATATTTATATATTCTTAACTTTTTCAAAAATATAAATTATATTTACAATAATATCTTCTATATGATTATTAAATTATATTTTAATGTTATCACATATTTTGATTCAAATTAAGTTAAAATTTATTTTTTAACTTATAAAATAAATTTCGTTAAACTTTTGTGTAGAGGTAAAGTATGAAATAAATATTTTATTAGGTAATTTTGCTAAAGATATAAAAAAGAAAAAAGAAAAAAAAAAAATTGTATGATCTTCTACATCCTAGGTCTTCCCGTTCCACTAAGATATTTAATATTTTCCATTATAAGTATTTAAATAATAAATAAAAAATGAGTATTGTGGTTTACATAATTATATCAAGATACAACGTGATTTGGAGTCTTAAGTTGAAAAGTAGAATGTAAAAGTATATTTTATATTGAGAATAGCTTAATATTGAAATTCTCAAATGGAAAAGTTGAAAATTCAGGTCTTATTGTGACACAATAACAAAAAGTCAAGCCTTATAATGGAATTTTTCCTTCTTATTTTTTTTTTTTTTAAATATCTAAGAGCACTCACAATGCATTGGGTCTCTTAGGCGTGATTATTTACATTTTGTACAGTAGATATCCCACTCTATTAGAGAGAAGATGGAGACAGAATAAAGCATAATGAGAGTTATGTTTTCCATTGATTAAGATCTGAGTTTATATACAAGGTGGTAACACAAAACTCCTCGACCGGCTGGAACTTGAGTAATCGCCTTCCTTCTCG